GATCAAATTCAAATAAAAGTTAGAAGACAAAAAAATGTTACGTATCCTAATATCACTCATTTCTTTTGAGAAAATTTATGATGTACACTCTATAAATATGAAATTTTTATAGTAAAAGTTATAAATATTTGTAATTTATTATGTGAATTTATGATAAAAATTATGAATAATTAATTTATGGCATACGTTTCAATGTAAAAATACATTTTTATGTTGTTTTACTATTTGCTATAAAATTTTATAGTATTAATATGATGGGTTTGACTTCTCTCATGTCGAGGATCCAATTTAAGAGAGAAATTGGGTTTAGTAGACCCATTGTAAGCCCAAACTCAGTAATCCAAACTGTTTACTTTTTAAAATTCATCGAGAAAAATATTTATGTAAAAAATAAGATGATTGAATTTTTAATCGCATTAGTCTTTAAAAAATGGACAGTTATTCTTGAAATTATATTTGCTATATATTTTTTTAAGATAAATACAATTCAAACATATATTTATAAAAATCCAATCATTTTTTATTTTTTACATTAATATTTTTCTTAATGAGTACTAAAAAATGAATAATTTGACTCACCTACTAAATTCAAATATTCTTTCAAATTAAATTGTGAAAATAAAACAATCCAAATCTAAATATGAAAAACATATACTATATGAGGACGACATAGTAGCGAGTCCGGATCTTCTGCCATACATTCCTGCCATACATACAAAACGACGTCATTTTGTATTAGTTTTTTTTTTTTTTTTTTCCTCGTTTCTTTTACGTTGCTTCAGAACTGTTTAGAACCCTAGTGTTGCTTCAAAACTGAGACGAATTGAGAGTAGAGGCGAAACGACGAGGAGAGGAGAGGAGAGGAGAGGCAGCGGTTGAGGCAAGGGGAAACGACGGCGACGACGGCGAAACAACAGCGACGAGGTTCGTTCGTCTTCAGGATCATTTTTCTCCCTTCTCCCTTCGTCTTTTATTACTTTTTTTTATATGATTTTGTTGCCAATAGATGCTTTTGATTTATGGATTTGTTGCCAAACAGATTTGGTGTGATTTCCGTGAAATTTTTGCAATTTTTTTTTGATTTGGTGTTATGCCGAAATTATTCCCAATGTTTGTGTTAATGTGTTCAATGTTCACCATTTGATGTAATTAGATCAAATAGAGAGATGATTGAAAATGAATTTTTCTGTGTGTTAATCTGGGTTCAAAATGAATTTTTTCCCCCTTTTTTATGTGTATGTATGATTCAAAATGAATTTTTTCCCCCTTTTTTTATGGGTGTTAATCTGGGTTGAAAATGTATGATTCAAAATGAATTTTTATGATTCAAAATGAATTTGGTGGAGGGTTGAAAATTTATGAGTTTCGGGTCTGAAATCTTAAATAGTATCTGAAATCTTAAATAGTAAATCCCCCCATTTATTATTTGTTAATTCTATCAAAATAGAACACGTTGTTGATGCTGTTAGAACAAATTGATTGGATATGCTAGTTCCATTGATTGATAAAATTGTTACGAAGAAGAGAACTTTATAACATTTTTTCACTCAAATAATTAATATGCTTAGATTAGTTTGTTGAATGAAATTGATTGTAGTGCATATAGTTTGTTAATGTTGTCGGAACAAATTATTCTTGCATTTAAATTTTTAATGTATTATGCTTTCTGTTTGGAGGCAAAGAATACATATAAGTATGGGAGTTGATATTTTTTTGTGCTGAGCAAGTAGTAACATTGTTTAGTGTTGAGTTAGAGTTTTGTTGTTTTGTTTTACTGGAAAGAGAAGAGAGTATATTTTTAGGTTCAAGAATTATTTAACTCATTGTCTTCAATTTGGACTCTTTGAGATTGTGCCTCCTTCCTTTAATTAAGGGTGGTGTTCCAATGAAAAAAATTGCCCATGGACACCATGTGGCACAATGCCACACGCCAATCACCAAATACCACCCCCATGTTGTCTCCACATTTCAATTTGTTTCTGTTAGCATGAAATTATGTTGTTGGACCTATCCTTACAATTCTAGGTCTTGCTATGGACTTCATATGTCACCCTTTTTAACACTTTCTACATCCACAACATTTGAAATAGAATACATAGTTATTGGATTTTTGATTTTTAGCGAACGTCTCTATAAATTATTGATTTTTGGTTTTATATGCAGAAATCAATGAAGCAGGGATGACACATTGTGGCATTATTGGATTAAAAAGTAACAAGAAAAGCTTTGTAGTTTAAATGTTTATCTTTTGTTATTTATTTGTTTGCTATCATTTGAATAACCACGTATTTGCTTGATGTGAATTTGCTTGCATCATCAGACCAGATTCTGCACTTGAGAAAGAAAAGCTCTCAAGGAAGATTTGATGGTCAATCCTATAAGCAACTCTGTTCTCTCACAGAAAGTGTATAGGTGTGAATTTTCAAGAAAACATTGACACATAGCATTGATCCATTAGTGTATAGGTGTGAATTTTCAAGAAAACATTGACACAGAGCATTGATCCATTAGTGAAAATATTAAAGTGAGCATGAAAATGTAGTGCAAGAAAACCATGAAACATAATAACCTTTTTTATCAACTTTGTTGAATTTTATATGGCAGGACTGTTTGATCAATATTGGTGAAGGATGGTAGGTGGTGGTGGGTACTATTCTTGTGCCTGTATTTATGTTTGACCCAATTAACTAAAGGCAAACTTTGGGAAAATGAAGATAGGTGGATTTTTGAAAGAGATTTATTACCTTAAACCATTGTAATTCACGCTGCATTTGTAGAACTGCCCCAGAAGAGAAATCCAGGCGTTGTTGGCGAGCCTTATATCCAACCAAATGGAGCATATTATTTCCATCATTGTCTGGTAACAAAGATAATAAGAATTTATATTTCCCACTTCGCTGATGCATGACCTTGAAAACTTTTTCATGACGGTACATAACTGCGAGATGGAATGCAGTGTGGTTTTCTTCATCTACGAACATACTTGCATCGGGAAATGAGTCCAAAATTTCTTTGACAATTTCATGAATCCCATACTGTGCTGCTAAAAGGAATGGCAATCTAAGTATGGAGGAAGCTTTTGTAAACAAAACATGAATAATGGCAATGGATGTAAACAACAGTTTGCTATTTTACTGGTTTGAACAAGAACTATGTATATGATCTAAGAATGAACATGAACTATGTATATGACTAGGATGAACATGAACATGAACTATGTATATGACTAGGATGAACATGAACATGAACATGAACTATGTATATGACTAGGATGAACATGAACATGAACATGAACTATGTATATGACTAGGATGAACATGAACATGAACATGAACTATGTATATGACTAGGATGAACATGAACATGAACATGAACTATGTATATGACTAGGATGAACATGAACATGAACTATGTATATGACTAGGATGAACATGAACATGAACTATGTATATGACTAGGATGAACATGAACATGAACTATGTATATGACTAGGATGAACATGAACATGAACTATGTATATGACTAGGATGAACATGAACATGAACTATGTATATGACTAGGATGAACATGAACATGAACTATGTATATGACTAGGATGAACATGAACATGAACTATGTATATGACTAGGATGAACATGAACATGAACTATGTATATGACTAGGATTAACATGAACATGAACATGACAATGTTTATTAGACAAATGGTTATTATATCATTGATTAGTGCTTTATTTTACAGCTTTGTTTGAATGTTGTCTTAATGGACTGATTGTAATTGTGGAAAATGCTCTTACTAGGATCATGTCAATGTCAATGGGTTCAAACATTGATGCTGGATATTTTCAAAATCAGAGATGCAATTATGGAAAAAAAGCTGCAGTATTCATATCAGAATCAGAGAAAAATCTAGGGAGGCTGTATTTCAAGTGTCCAAATAAGATGTGCGAGTTCTTTGGGTGGGGACCGGCTTCGACTGGGAATGCATCAGATTTCCAAAGGAAAAGTAAAGCTAGTCATATGAAGAATGAAGATGACAGAGGCTATGATTATGATGTTGACAAACTCAATCAAATTATAAATAAATTGGAACGAGTTGAAGCAAACCAAGAAGCTATGAAACTGTTTATGTTCACAGCCATAGTCTTGATTGGTTTTACCATGCTAATAGCACTACTGAAGTGAATGTAACCTTTTAGTTATTTTTTTGGTATTTTGTTTTTTTTTTTTTTGGTGGATGTATTTGGGTTA